TGAATGTAAATTTGTACTATTTAACTGACTATTCTTGGTGTAAAATCTTGTCATGTGTATAAAAATAAAAACGTTCCCAGATAGCCCGTGCCGTGCCTGTGATTTCGCACCCCATTGTGCAGGGTGCAGATGGATACTACCATGCGTGCTTAACAGGTAGGCTGGTGGTTTTAGCCCTCCGGTATCCACTCTTTATTGTGACATTATGGGGGCGGTGTTTTTCATCAGAGATACTTAGAAAACGCATAGAAGAGTCAGCTTTGCTCAGTGAATGCAGATACTGTATATGCTCGTGTATAAGTTTCTCAGCACATTTTTAATGCAGGTTTTGTAAAATTAGGTGCCTTGGCTGGTATTCGGTTGGCTTATACTCCAGTATATAGGTACCTGCCCTCCCAAGGGTGATGGAATTTAATCATCTTGCCTTTCAGGCTGGTGAGGTGACGGGTTTGGGCGGGGAGCAGGGGGAAACACCTAGACTTCGCTGACAACGTGATGAGACGAGCACTTAGCCTCTTTCCAAACCCTGTAACTTTGGGCTAATAAAACCCCCCAGGCAAGCACAATTGGAGGACCTAACCATTGCTCACAAGTGTCGGTCAAGGTGGTGAAAACTGGGTGAGGGAAGCAGACCAGAGCTAAATGTGATGTGCCAAGTAGGAGGGGAAGGTTGGAGAAGGTAAGAGAGCAGTGGGTTGGGTTTGGGTGTTGACAGCTGTCCGGTAAGATAGTGTGTGTGAATACACCTGGCGACTACCACGCCCAACTTTTCTGTAAACCTCAAAATTCCTCCAAGAGAAAACCTTAAAGATTTTCCATCATCCTGCCAGCCAAAATCAAGGCAGGCATTGAAACACCCTGTTTATCTCTGATTTGGTTAATCAGACAGCTAACCACAAGAATGGCAGTTCAACCTACCAGCCGTTCCCTTGAGCGATGAGGCTGGCTGCTCAAAGGTTGACAGTCTGGGAAACCCTGTACCAGGGTCACTGAATCGAAATCGGATTGCCTCTTGGTTTGGTTGCATCTTAAAGTCGTTCCATTTTTTACTTTAAACTGCAGGCCTGGGAGTTAGGTAGTTGCTTTTCAAAGATCATATAAAAATTCTATAGATCTTAAATTTTATGTACTAAAACATCTGGTTAGAGCAGTGGTTCTCAACCTTCCTAATGCTGCAACCCTTTAATACAGTTCCTCCTGTTGTGGTGACCCCCCAACCATAAAATTATTTTCGTTGCTACTTCATAATTAATTTTGTTACTGTTATGAATTGGGCATTCAACCCCCAAAGGGGTCGCGACCCACAGGTTAAGAACCACTGGATTAGAGATTTCACAGTTTTGCTGATCATCCCGAACATGTCTGTGGGCTTTCCAGTATTTCTGCTCATTGTAGACTGTAGGGTTAGTGTGCATAGCCACTTGAAAATTACCAGCTTCTATACTTGAATGCATGTTTCAAAAATCTGTACTTTTTCCTTATAAACACAAAATGGCAGCTCTCAGTCTAAAACAACACACATTTTGTGACTTAGTTGTTAGCTGGATGTTTGTCTGCATTTGTGTTTATCATGAGTTGCTGGTTTTTAGTAAAGGTCATTATGAAAAGTTAAAGCCAAGGTCATGATGAGAAGTTAAAGCCTCAGATTGCATTAAATCATTGGCATCTAAACCTGTTACCCCGCTCAAAACCAAACCCACTGCTATCAAGTTGATTCTGACTGGGGTCAGACTAGAACTGCCCCATGGGGTCTCCCAAAGCTGTACATGGAAGTGTATGGGAGTCGACTGCCCCATCTTTCTCCCATACAACAGCTGGTGGGTTCAAACCATGGAACACCTACGTTTTCATTGCTTCCAGCTGATGATAAATACCCACCTCCGATTTGTAATAAAAACAAGTATCTATGTCATGCATAATTTGCAAATTTTGTAATAAAAACAAGTATCTATGTCATGCATAATTTGCAAAATCTCATTAACTGACCTAATTTAGTTACCAAACAGGTTGCAGTGCATCTGTCTTATTTTAAAAGAGCTTTACAAGTTAACAGTTCCCGGTGACATAGGGGTTACGCTAACTGCTATGTGAGCAGTTTGGAACCACCAGCTCCGCTGGGAGAAAGGCAGCTTTCTACTCCTGTAAAGAGCTGGTTTCAGAAACATGGGTTGTCCTACTGTTGTGGAGGGCTGCTCTGAGTCAGTAGTGACGCCATGGCTGTGACTTTTTGTTGTTTGTGTTATGAAGTTAGAGTGTCGTAGTACTTGTGAATTATTACATCCCCTCGCTCACAGGTCTGTTCCTCCAAGGCTGCATTCTGAGGTGAGTCCAGTGTACGGTGTTGATTTAAAAAGGCCCTTGGGGCCAATGTCTGGAAGGAAGGGAACAGGAGTGGACGCAGGGAGGGGAGGTAAGCAGGATGAAAGGCAGGCTCAGCCCACCCCATGGAAAGTTCTGAGGTTTAGGTGGGGCTCATCAGACCTGTCTGCCCACTCTGCTGCCCACAAGGTCTTTCTGTTGCACTTGCTTCAGTCGCCAGCTATGGAAGCCTGAGGAAGGATTTGACTTGGAGGGAGGCTGCTCTGAGTTGTGTTGGGCTGCTAACCAAGAGGCCAGCAGTTTGAACCCACCAGCCACCAGCCCTGCAGGATAAAGAGGCTGCTTTCTGCTCCCACAAAGATGGATAGCCTCCGCAACCCACAAGGACAGCTGCCCTCTGTCCTGCCAGGTTGCTATGAGTCAGTCCAGTTGAAGACAGAGTGGTTCGAGGTGTGCTCTGCAGCTGCAGCAATCCCTGCACGCGGCCGGGTGGGGTGAGGACTATCTTGGGGAACGCCACTTAGAATCAGCACTGACTGCAATAAATAAGTCATTTTTACTTAAGGTGGACTTTTAATCACTATTTTAAAAAGGCGGGGGGGGCCTTCATTAAGTCATTGTCTTTGTAGGGGACTTGAGTTCCAATCTTCTTACTCAGGAGCCAGACAGCTCATCCTATGGACCCGAATGGCTGCCTCGGCCTCCGCAGTGAGGATCCTCCCCATGGGCACACTTTGGATTGGGGGCTGGCCCTTTCTTCATGCAAAGGGTGAGCGGTACCCCATCTCCCCTCAATCTGGAAACTGGCAGAGGGTGGGATGGCTCCTTGGTGGTATTTACACAATGCATAATAAAGCTTAAAAATGTATCTTAAAGCAAGCAGTGGACTAGAATTTGGAAATGTCAATTCAGCAATGAATTGACCTACCAAGTTCAATGAATGAAATTAGTTCAGAGTTTAAAAACAAGAATTGTATTACTGATTTATACTAAATCAAGACACTCTGTAAAGTCTCCTTCCAGAAGCCCACGGGAAGTCCCTCACTTAACATTCAAAACTAAACTGAGAACCTAAGGACCTAGATTAGAAATATAGAGTTGGTGTCTTGGGAACCATTTCTACCTTTTGGAATTGGGAAACAAAAGCAAAACATCCAAAAGTTGTCTATTATAACTAAACAAGAGCTTAGTTTAACTGGTAAAAATCGGGATTGAGAAGAACGGCAATTCCAGAATACTTCATTGTGCTCAGGCAGAACCTGTTCATTAAGAACAGAGCAATGGAATATTGCACAGCTCCAGTTCCAGAAGGATGTGTGTCAGGGTTCTATGTGATCACCAAACTTACTCAAATGTGTGCTGAGCAAATAACCAGGGAAGCTAGAGCCTATGAAGAGGAACGCAGCATCAGGATGAGAGGAAGGCTTACCTGTGACATGCAGCCGACATGACTTGAAGGCGAGCTTGCTGATGAAGATCAAGGATTACAATTTAATGTAAAGAAAACAAAAATCCTCACAACTGGACCAATAGGGAACATGCCAATAAATAGAGAAAAGTTGAGGCTGTCAAGGACTTTGTCTCACTTGGGTGCACAGGCAATGCTCCTGGAAGCAGCAGTCAGGAGGTGAAATGATGCATTGGGTAAATCTGCTGCACAGGACCTCTGTCTTTAAAACGTTGAAAAGCAAGGATGATATTTTGAGGACTGAGGTGTGAATGACTCAAGCCATGGTATTTTCAATTGCCTCATTCATGGGAAAGTTGGACACTGAACAAGGAAAATGGAAGACAAACCTAGCTTTTCAATTACAGTGCTGGCAAAGCATACTGAAAGTACCATGGACTGCCAAAAGAACTAAGCAATCGATCTTGGAAGCAATACAGCCAGGATGCTTAAGGGCAAACATGGCGAGACTTCATCTCATGTCATCTGGACATGTTGTCGGGAAAGACCAGTCCCTGCAAAAGAACATCATTCTTGGTAAAGTGAAATAGCAGTGAAAAAGAGGAAGACAAGATGGACTGACACAGTGCCTGCAACAATGGGCTCAAACATAACATGATGTAAGACCCGGGAGTTCTTCGGTTTGTTGTACAGAGTCGCTCTGCGTCAGAGCCACCTCAAGGGCAGCTAACAACTAGTCACAAAGGTCTGCTGTGGGATCAGTATCAGCCTATATTGTGAGACTGGTGTGCAGAAGGCAATGGATGACAGTGGGAGCCCAAGATTTATTTGTGGAACTTCCTAGGAAATCGGCCTTTGGAGAATCCCCCTATTGAGATTGAGGGAGGGGAGGAAAGGGGTCACTA